AAGACGACAATGACAGAGATGATTTTTGATCAAAAACTAAGTTCTACTGATTCTTAATAAAAAATATTGCTAACAACTGACTGGGGGCTATCTTAAATAAAAAAAAAAAAAGAAAAAAAAGAAAAAAAACTACTAGCTTAATTCTCTATATAAGCGTCACATAAGACGAATTATAGTGTGAGGTCAGGTGAAATACTATGACAACTATCTTGTTGTAAAGATTGCTGTTGTTGTATAGACGCTTTAATGGTGCTGCAGCCCAGCTCTGGTACAATGATGTGCCATTGTCGGTTTTCATTAGAGAGGGTTGTCAAATACTATCTAAATGTCCCAAATCATTGATGAAGTTTATAACAATAGTGGCTATTCGCTTGATTCAAGATATCGAAAACGCTGTGATTTCTAAGAGAACTTTAGGATTTTTAAGAAAATTTTGGGATTTCTAAGAAACTTTGGAATTTCTAAGAAACTTTGGGATTTTTAAAACAACTTTGGGATTTTTAAGAAAACTTTAGGATTTCTAAAAACCTTTGCGATTTCCATTACCAAATTATACATTTTCATGCTCTGGAAATTGAGTATTACTACTACTACTACTACTATTACTACTACTACTACTACTACTACTACTACTACTACTACTACTACTACTACTACTACTACTACTACTACTACTACTACTAACGACTACTATTACTACTACTACTACTACTACTACAACTACTTCTACTACTACTAACGACTACTGCTACTACTACTACTACTGACGACTACTGCTACTACTACTACTACTGACGACTACTACTACTACTACTACTACTACTTTTACTGCTATTACTACTATTGTATAAAAGTATAAAAGTATAAAACTTCACAAATTAACACATAGAAATAAAAACGTATTCATCATCGCGGCAAAACTAAAATATGACTGATAGCATACGCTTAAGTTCACATGAAAGTAAAACGCTATAAAAATGCTTGCGATAATACAAAAATAATAATGATACGTGCATCACGATAAAGCTCAGGTCATATACGTCAAAACCAAGTTTTGACGTAAGAATTTTTGTGAGTTTTCTCAAATAGGAACGACTTACCTAAACACTTTCAATGCTTAATCAGCCTAAACTATACTGTATCAATGAATCTAAATGTAAATATGCATGTGAATGTGTGCGTGTGTGTGTGCGTGCGTGTGTATGTGAGTGTTTGTTTGTGTGTGTGTGCGAGTGTGTGTGCGTGTGTGTGAGTGTGGTGTTGTGTATATAACTCATATCGTGACTCACCAATGATTTGAATCATTGTTTTTTGAAAAGAACTTACAAATTGGAAATACCAATCAAAATGTGTTTAAAACGCTTTTATGTGATAAAATTTATTGGCAATGTGTGTTAATTTGTATATATATATGTATATTTTATATATAATTTATCGTGTGGCACTTGGTATTTATGCGTTCATGCGTGTGTATGTGTGTGTTTTTGTTTGTGTTGGTATGTATGTATGTATGTATGTATGTATGTATGAACCCATATGTATGTATGTATGTGTGTGTGTATATGTGTACGTGTATGTGTGTGTGTGTTCTAACAAAACGCATTTGCTATATAATGTTGTTATTGAACCAATTTTAAGCGTAATTTAAACTTTCTCGATGTCTATTAAAAGTTTATATTTAACGGTAATAATTATGATTAGAATAATTAAGTTTTAGCTATAATTAGCTATAATTAATTGAAATTATTTATAATAATTTTTGCAAATGTAAATCTCAATGAGGTGAGGGCTTTTGGTTCGAAATATATACTTTAATGTGTTTTGGTTAATTATTATCAATAGTTACTACCACTACTACTACTACTACTATTACCACTACTACTACTACTACTACTACCACTACTACTACTACCACTACTACTACCACTACTACTACTACTATTACTTACTACCACTACTGCTGCTGTTGCTGCTGCTACTACTGCTGCTGTTGTTGCTGCTTCTGTTGCTGCTAATACTACTACTTCTATCAGTATCGCATCTAGACAACCTTGACGAGGAGGGCCAAGATTTTCAAAAATATTCATTCTTGACGACCGGCGAAGAGTTGTCGTTCGGCAACTTTTTCAACTTTTGAATATTTTTACAAATTATTTGAGAAATTTTTTAACATTCCCCGAACATTTTGACTAGAGAGCCAACTCTTCTGCCAATGTGGTTAAAATTTTGCCTACCTTTTTTAACCTACAATAATATTTCTTCTCCCAAAAACAATACTCTTTCAGTTAAAACAATGACTTTCACTGACTAATACTACTTTTACTACTGCTGCTGCTGCTACTGCATCTGCCACCACTACTGCTACTTTCTTCACTCTACTACTATTGCTACAACTCTTAGTGCTGCTACTACTACTAGTATTGCCACATAAATGTTGTCATTATCAACTTCAACAACAAAAGTAACAGCAACAACAGCTTAACAATTATTCACAATTGATCAGCTTCACTTACGGAACGCAAAAACTTCGTACTAGTTTCTAATTTCCAAAAGTTAAAAAAAATGTGTGTACGTATGTGTGTTTGTTTGTTTGTACGTATGTACGTTTGTATGTATGTATGTATGTATGTATGTATGTATGTATGTATGTATGTATGTATGTATGTTTGTTTGTTTTTTTGTTTGTTTGTTTGTATCTTTGGAAACATTTTTTGGACTTAATCCTTAAAGATAGATGAAAGGCAAGACTTTTGCCCCAAAGTGAGAAACAGTTAATTAGATAAGGGTAGAAAAGTGAGTAGAAAAGCTGCTTAACGATGTTATTTGGAAGTTTAGACTTAAGTTTATAGAATTCCAAGAGTTTTAGAAAGCCCGGTTGACAAAAATGTATGTATGTATTTTTGTTTGTATGTGTGTATTTGTGTGAGTGTGTGTGTCTGGTGTGTGTGTGCGTGTGTGTGCATTTTAAAAAACAAAATTTTATGAATTTAAAAAAAATTTCAGAGCGGACAACGGATATACGTAAATAAAAAATAACACGGAGACAACAACAACAACAACAACGTCATCATCATCAACAACAACAACAACGTCATCATCATCAACACCAACAACAACATCATCATTATCAACAACAACAACATCACCATCATCATCAATAACAACAACATCAAAAACAACAACAACAAGCATAATAAAAAATGATTTTCCGATATCTAACCTTCCTAAATTACGTGCTTCTACTAGCTCTGAGTGATACAGAAGAAAGTTAGTCATGTGTGTGTGTGCGTGCGTGCGCGCGTGTGTGTGTATATATATACATGTATATATATATATATGAATACATTTCAACCCATCAACACGCAGTTTGTGACCCAGCGTCATCCGATAACCGTCATTGCGTCGTTGGATGTATTATGTGATACCTAATACTTGATCTATACATCGATATGTATCTTGCATGTACATATATGTATTTATATTTAACTATGTATCCGTAGGTCTGACGTGGAAACTCGTATCACACATATTCAACCGCAATAGTTGTATTCACAACGCATACACAGCAATATTATATATCTGGCGCACATGTCATTCGTAATTAGTTTTCACTAACGTTTCTCAACCATGTTAAAACTTTTATAAAATTTCTATATTTTAATTATTTTACTAAACATTTTATTTAAATTACATTATTTTATTTATATAATCTACATAAACTTTAGTTATTATGATATTTACAACAAGGTTAATTTATTTCACAATTTAATACATATTTTATTTTCTATATTTTCACATTTTACATTAGGCATTTACTTTAATTAAATTATATGTTTAAACAATATTTAGGCTCTGAAGATGGCATTACGCCGAAACAGCGCTGTTAGCTTTATTCCAGTTTTAGATAAATATGAACTCAAACAATATCGCCTCGTTGAATGTCTTATAAAGAAGTTAATTAATGCAAAATGGGCAAACAATTTCAATGAAATTTGCATTTCTGAAAACCTCGTTCCTAAATATATATATATATATATATATATATATACATACTTACATACACACACACGGTAGTTTTTACGATAAATTTCAGTTGACTATTAAGTTTATTTAACTCGTACATAAAGTTGGTGTGCGTGTTTAAGGCAGAAAAGGCTTTTTTCGGTAGTTCATATTTTCCATGATCAATGTAAATTTTTGTGTTGTTTATGTCCTTCATATAAGTTACTGTCACTTTGTTCCTATGTTAATAAAGTTTTTTCCAGTTCTTTCTACCTCTTTGTATCTCTAATCAACTGAAATTTACTGTACAAAGGATTGAAAAATTAAGCCGAAAACGAAGTTGCCTTTCCTTAACAACTGCACCTCTGATAGTCTAAATCTTATATATATATGTATATACCTATATAATTTTCATCAATTTAAGCATGATAGAAAATTTAAGCATGGCAGAACAAAAAAATTTTTCTGCCTGCTATTCCTGTACCATCTTCGGTGCTCGTTTTGATACGTTGTGTATGTGGCCAAACAATTCGGTAGAGTTTATACAATAATACACACAAACACACACAAACACACACACATACACACACACATATATATAAATATATGTTATACAATATATATAATATACTTACGTCAATGTATATAATTGGACCATTTTGCCATGATAGACCTGCCCTAAAGAAGCTCCACCGAAAAACACGGGAATGAGTTAAAAAAATAGAGAATGGAAATTTTCTGGAACGTTGGAATTATAATAATGCATTATTATTATCGTTATTATTACCGCAGCTACTACTATTGCTATTTTAGCTGCCACTAATTCTGCTACTACTAATGTGGCTGCTGTTGCTACTACTTCTACTACTTAGAATTTTTATTGCAAATTATGTTAGGAATAAATAAATAAATATAAATAAAAAACCGTACTAAAAAACACAGAATGCATTGTAAGCATCGGGGGAGAGATATGCCACAACATAACATCCGGCGGTAGCTCAGTGGGTAGAGTCGACAAAAACTACGACGACGACGACACAACCACCGACGACAATGATTCAACTGCAGTCAAAACCTTTGAGATGTGTAAGGTGTCTTGGAGTGAGCAGATTAAAAACCTCAATTCGACTACAACTGCTTTGCGGGATATTTACGGAATGTTTAGAAGTTTGTCTGGGTTCGCAAGACTGGTCAGTTAGTGGATTGTTAATCATGTAAATGACTGAATGAATGAATGAAAAAATGAATAAATGAGTAAATAACTGATAGATGGAATGAATGAATAAGTTTGATGGACGGATGAACAATTAGTGGATAATTGAATGAAAGAAGGACTGAATGATTGAAATAATTTATTTAAAATGGATAAAAGAATGAATGAATGAACGAAAGATAGAGAAAATGAATGATAGAAACGAAGGAATGATGAAATTTAGAATTAATCTTCACATCGTAACGTGTTAAGAGACCGCTTGGAAAGGAAAAGAGAAACAGACGATTTTTGAACGGCGCCACCAAAAATGAGGTAATCATCACACACACACACACACACACACACACACACACACACACACACACACACACACACACACACACACACACACACACACACACACAAACACACACACACACACCAACACACGCAGACATTAAACTGTGCAATCAACCATCTGAAACTCATCCTACAAGTCATCGAGTTCGTAGAAGGATCAATCGATACGGAGCTCTACATCCGGTTCGAGATTGTTCTACGCAAACTGTGCAAGTTCGTTCGCTATTCAAACAAATGTTTACCCGGTTTTGACGATTGTCGGATGGCCTGTAGAATCGGTTCGATGCCGGTTAAAAAACCGACACCGAAATCGTTCCGACAAGCCGGTGGTTTTAATGGTTACAGAAATATTCAGCGCAACAAACACGTCAAGAAAATTAATAATAACAAAAATACAAACAACAATGATGATACTACTACTGCTACTACAACAACAACTACTACTACTACTAATAATAACTATATTAATAATAATAATAAATTCAATCCCAGCAACATAAATGACATTATCAACAAGAGCAACAACATCATCAACTACATCGTTGCTAACATCACCAAAAAATTTTTCAACATCAACAACAACAGCAGCAGCAACATCAACAACAACAACATCAACAACAACAACATCATCAACAACAACAACAAAGATGTAAAAGTAGTAAGAAGACGAAGCATCGAAAGAAGAAAGGAAAGAGACCACAAATCATATATAAAGGATTTTTCACTGGACAAGAAATGGCTGAATAGAGACGGCTATACAAAGTATTGGCGATTTGAATTGCTTTCAAAAACTGAAATTGTTTTTCGGCTTATTAATTCTTTAATTAATTAGTTAAATAACTAATTATTTAATTGAATAGCATTTCATTTATCTAATTAATTAATTAACTAATTCATTCATTTATTCATTCGTTCATTCGTTCGTTCATTCATTAATTAAATCAGTCAAAATAAAAAATTCAAATAAACATTGTAAATTCAACGAAAACAAACGTGTTTTCAATTCTTCTCAAAATAAAATCAATGATTTATTTAGTACTCTCAGCAAGACTGGCAAATTATTTCAACTTCCAAATGATGCATCCAGCAACGTCAGTGTTATATTTCAATTTCAGATGTTTCTTTCATGAACTCAGAGTTCTTCTAGAGTTCTTCTAGAGTTCTTCTAGAGTTCTTCTAATCTTCTAATCTTCTAGAGTTAGACCGTGTCAGATTCTAGCAAGACAATGAAGCACCTATTTTGAAAATTAATCATTCCACGATTTTCAACCAAAGCAGCTTGTTTGAGATTGAAGTTACATGTTCAAACTTCGATTTTTATGCAGTAGGTTTTGCGGATTTTGAACTGACAGAAGAGAGGCGATTGATTTTTCAGGTAATTTTAAACGCATAAACTGCAGTAAGTTGTGATGGAAGCATGAAGCAAGTTATGTTTTGTAGGATTTTGTGTGGATTTTTAACGAGATGTATTACACTCGCAATTGATTCAGCCAGCTCAATAAAGCCTCTGTAGTTGTGTCTTAGTCAGACATAATCATCATAATTCTCGTCAAAATCGCAATCATTACTATTACCAACAACGTCATCATCAGCAGCATCGCCATCATCGTCGTCGTCATCGCAACCACAGCAGCCACCAAAACAGCAGCAGCCACCATAATAACCACCATCATCACCACCATCATCGTCATCTTCATCATCACAAGTTGCAGCTTCTTAGAAGAGTGTTTGTTTACAAAGTTGCGTAAGCTTAGGGAGAAAAGAACCATAACAACAACAACAACCTTCTCTATATTGTAGATCATCCAACAACACAAATAATAATAAAGATAATAATAATAATAACAATATTATTATTATTATTATTATTGCGGTAGTAGTAGTAGTAGAAGTAGTTGTATTAGTAGTAGTAGTAGTAGTAGTAGAAGTAGTAGTAGTAGTAGTAGTAGTAGTAGTAGTAGTAGTAGTAGTAGTAGTAGTGGTTGTTGTTGTTGTTGATCATGATGGCGGTGAAGAAGACGACGATGATTAAACATATATACATATTCATTTTCGTTTATTTATTTATTATTTATCATATATATATATATATATATATATATTTATGTGTGTGTGTGTTATGAATGTATTTATTTATATAAACCATCTATCTATCCATCCAAAAATTTATATTAATAAGGAAGATTGCAATCGTTGAGTATGTTAATGATTGATGTGTGTATGAATGTATGTATGTATGTTTGTATGTATGTATGCATGTATGTATGTTTGTATGTATGTATGTATGTATGTATGTATGTATGTATGTATGTATGTATGCATGTATGTATGTATGTATGTATGTATGTATGTATGTATGTATGTATGTATGTATGTATGTATGTATGTATGTATGCATGTATGTATGTTTGTATGTATGTATGTATGTATGTATGTATGTATGTATGTATGTATGTATGTATGCATGTATGTATGTATGTTTGTATTTATGTATATAAGTTCCCAAACATTCATTTAGTTTGTGTTTGCTCCGCTAAAGATGGATACATTCATGTATTGAATGATTTGGTTTGTGAGAAAATATTTCATCGCTAATGCTTCGGTAATATTTAAGAATTAATTTTATTATTAAAGAATTAAAAAATCAAAAAATTAAATTTATTATTTTTATTGTTATTATCATTACTAATAGAGTAGTAGTAGTAGCAGTGGCGACAGTAGCTGCAGCAGTAAGCAGCAGAAGCGGCAGCAGTATTAGTGGTAATAGTAGTTGCCTCAGTAGTAATTTTTTTTAAATTATTTATATGTTATTTGAAATTATAGCGAGTTTAAAATAATCAAAGATAATTTGAGGACTTTTTGATTTTAATTAGCGCTTAATTAAATATCTTAATAATAATAATAATAATAAAAAGATAACTTCTAACGTTCGGGGCGAAAATGTTGATCGAACAACAGCAGCAACAACAACAACAACAACAACAACAACAACAACAACAACAACGGCAACAAGTTGATAACCTGATCGAAAATGTTGAAGAAAATTTGCGACAAACAACATCAACAGCAACAACAACAACAGCAGCATCAACAACAGCAACAACAACAAAATCAACAACAACATCGGCAACAAAACATCAACACGCCAAACTATCAGTAATTGAAAAGTTATCTTTAATGAGGAAGAAGTATCACCATAAGGATTTAGAACTTAGAAGCACTTTGGGTTAGTTTTGTTGCAGTTTGTTTGCTTGTTCGTTCGTTTGTTCGTTCTTCGTTTGTTTGTTCGTTCATTCGTTTGTTGGTGTTTTTTTTCCTTCTTTTCTTTCAGTTTTTTATTTTGTTTTTTTTTTACAAATCTGACCTTGAAATATTTTTCAAATGAATTATTTTCCCAGCTGTTAACGTACCGTGTCAGCTGTTTTTTTTCGAATCGGTTGTATATATACAAAGTGTTTGTATATTTTTGTAGACGTAAAAAGTGTTGTATATTTTTGTAAACTTGCATGAATAGTTTGTATAGTTTTCTTATTTAATTCTCAGAGGCATCAACAACAACCACAACTACAACACCAGCAACAACAACAGCCACAACAACAACAACCACCACAACAGCCACCACAACAGCCACAACAACAGCCACAAAAGCAGCGACTACAACCGCAGACCAGGCGTTTTAGTCATGACACTACAACTACTACAACTGTTTTGACAAATTAATTTTCATTCCTAGGAACTGGAACATTTGGCAGAGTTGTCCTCACCTACCATCCACCAACGCAGACTTATTTTGCTCTAAAAGTTCTCGAAGTAATCATTATATATTATTTTTTATACTATTCATATTATTTA